CGATGGGGCGCGGGACCGCGCGCGCGCTCGCGCTCGCGCTCGTGATGACGTCCGTCGCGGGCGCGCGGGCGCGGACGTGCGTCGCGGACGCGACGGATGGGATGACGTGGTGTCGGACGACGAGCCACCGCGACGGGGTCGACGTGGCGTACGCGGTCGTCGACGGGTCGTCGACGTTCGACGTGTGGGTGCGCGCGACGTTCTCGGGAGATGTGGCGCCGGGGTCGGATGGGTGGGCGGCCGTCGGCGCGGGCGCGTCGATGGCGGCGGGGGACGTGGCGACGTCCAAGGGGTCGGCGGCGGTGGAGTATCTGCGATTGACGGGACGGGGGACGCCGACGTCGGGGTGTGGATCGGGGTGCGCGGTGATGAACGCGACGATCGCGAGCGCGGCGAATTCGAGGACGATCACGTTTCGGTATCGAGACGCGAACGCGTCGCGGGGGGCGACGAAGGATCTGATTTGGGCGACGGGGGGGGGCGGGTTCGCGCAGCACGCGCCGAGCGCGCGAGGGACGCTGCGCGTGGATTTCAGGAGTGGTACCGCCACGGCGGGTGGGTCGAAAGTCAAGCGAGACGTCGCGCACGGGACGCTCATGCTCGTCGCGTGGGGCGCGTTGAATCCGCTCGCCGCCGGTTTCGCTCGCATGAAATTTCTCTTTCCGAACGGGAAGTGGTTCTTGGGTCACTCGATCGGCGTGTTACTCGGCGGTATCGTCTTCGGCGCCGCGTGCATCCATCTCGTCACGGCGAATTATGACGGTCACGTGCAAACGGATACGTTTGATAGCCACCAGAAGCTTGGTATCGCCGTCATGTTTCTCTGGGCGACGCAGTTCCTGCTCGGCGTCTTCCGACCGAACAAGGAACCGAAAGATGGTAATCGTTTTGGATTCATTCCCACGTCTTGGCGCCGATCGTGGTACATCGCGCACGCAGTTTTGGGTCCGGTGACTCTCGTTTTGGCGACCGTCACGGTCGTTCTCGGGGCCGTAGTCATCGGCAACAAGTGGGACGGCAGCGCTGATTCGGGAGTGAAGTTTCTCGCGGGAGGCGGCGTGTACGGCCTCTTGACCGCCGTTTGGGTCATCATCGCCCTCGGTGTTTGGCGCGATCGAATCGCAAAGACCTCGAACGGTGTAGACAATTACGGCATTGGAGATTCGACGCTGGACGAATCCGAGACGAACGCTCGATGAATTTTACGCGTCGCGGCGTCACGCGACTACGAGCAGCAGACAGTCATTCATCTTACGGAGTTGATTAACGACGTTTCGTCCTATCAGCGCATTTAATACTTCTACACTAGCACTAGCAATTCTACCTGGTACCGGTGACAGTAAACGTGGTACTCGTAGAGCAGAGTCAAAGCAAAAAAGGACCGCATCAGTCCCACGTGTCTCCTGAAAACTTTTGCCGAAACTTCCAAGCGTGCGCTAAGCTCTCGCTCAAATCCGTGTACTTGGCGCTCCACCCAAGCTCGTGCTTGATCTTGTCCACGTTTGCGTACACCTCGGCGTAATCCCCCGGCCTCGGCTCTTCGCGATAGTACACTTCGATCTGTTTCCCGGTGACGTTCTTACACGCATCGACAAACTCTCTCATGCTCACTCCGCTTCCAGTGCCGACGTTGTACAGCGACGGAGGATTATCCCACTTGTTCTTCTCGGCTACCGCGATGTGCGCGTCGACTAAATCGATGACGTGCACAAAGTCTCGAATCGTCGTCCCGTCCCGAGTTGGGTGCTTCGTTCCCATCACTGTCAACTTGTCGACCTTTCCCATCGCCGCGTCGAAGCACGCGCCCGAGATGCGCCCGTGCTCGCGCAACTCTGCTCGCGGCAGCTCCCCGAGTACCCCGTCGGGATCGCTCCCGAAGACGTTGAAATAGCGAAGAATTGCCGTCTTAAACTTAGGATTCGCCAGTGCGTAATCCTTGATCACGTTCTCGGCGTACAGCTTGGATTTCCCGTACGGATTGATGGGCTTGGTCGGCGTCGATTCCGTAATCGGCAACTTTTCCACGTTGCCGTACGTGGCGCACGTCGAGCTGTAAATCATATTGTTCACCCCGTGTGCGTCCATAACGCGCAACAAATTAACCGTGTTCACCGTAATGTTCCTGTAATACCTCAGCGGATCCGCCATCGACTCCCCCACGTACGCGATGGCGGCGAAGTGAAACACCACGTCGACCCCCAAGTTCGACCCCGTGAACGCCCACTCAATATCCTCCACTCGACCCAGATCTCCCTCCACGACGCGAAAACTCCCTTCATCCGCCGTTCGCTTCAACGCCGCGATCGCCCCACCGTTCCCTCGACTCAGATTATCCATCGACGTCACCGCGTATCCGCGCGCGAGCAACGCCTTGACGCAATGCGAACCGATGAATCCCGCCCCACCCGTCACCAGCGCGTGCGCTTTCCTCCCCCCCGCGAACGCGTGCGCGCGCGCGTCGACGTCCCGACCCACCCCACGCGTCCCACCGTCGCGTCGCCCCGTCGTCGGCGTCGTCCACGCCGTCGTCGGAACGAACCCGCGATCGCCGTCGCCGCGCGTCGTCCGAGCCCTCGCGCCCGTCCCGCCCGTCGCGCGCGAGATCGCGAGCGCGCCCAGGACGACGCCGAGGACGAGGACGAGCGCCGTCGGCCGTCGACGCGACGCCGGCGTCGGCGCCGACGGCGCGCGCATCGCGTCGATGCGGTCGTCCCAAAGGCGCGCGCCTTTCGATGCCGTCGTCCCAAAGGCGCGATCGACCGGTGATGGGACATCGATCGGGCGTCGACCTTTCGACGCGATCGACCGGTGATGCGGTCGTCCCAAAGGCGCGATCGACCGGTGACGCGGTCGTCCCAAAGGCGCGATCGACCGGTGATGGGACATCGATCGGGCGTCGACCGGTGACGCGATCGACCGCGCGCGCTAGGGTCGTCGACGCTCGCGTCGCGCGACTCGCGCGCGCGGCGACGGCGACGGCGCGCATGGACGACGTCGAGCGCGACGTGCTCGCCGCGATCGCGGCGTCCGGGACGGTGAACACGGGGACGATCGCGGCGCGATTGGGCGTCGATCGCGAGGTCACGGTCGGGGTCATGAAGCGGCTGCTCGCCGCGGACATGATCGCGTCGACGCCGATCGATCGATCGATGCTGACGCTCACGGATGAGGGCGCGCGCGCGATTGAGATTGGATCGCCGGAAGCGCGCGCGCACGCGGCGGTGCCGTCGGAGGGGATGGAGTTGGCGACGTTTAAGTCGACGAGCGAGAGGGACGTCGCGGACGTCGGATTCAAGCAGGCGATGCAGTGTAAGTGGTTGACGATGGTGAAGGGTGAGAGACCGAGGATCGAACGCGCGGTGGAGACGATTGTGGATGAGACCAGGGAGACGCTTCGAAAGGTGCAGAGGGGTGAGATGATTGAGCAGAAGACGACGGAGGCGCTGAAGAAGCGAAAGCTCATCAAGGAGGAAAAGTGGAAGGAGTACGAGCTCACCAAGGGGGCGGAGTTCGCGCTCGAGCGGAAGGTTTTGCCGGCGGATTTGACGAAAGAGATGATGAACGAGGGGTCGTGGAAGGGACAGGAGTTCAAGGCGTATAACTTGGTCCCGGGCGCCGGGGCGCAGCCGGCGAGCGGACACGTGCACCCGTTGCTCAAGGTGAGACAAGCCTTCAGAGAGATCTTCTTCTCCCTCGGGTTCTCGGAGATGCCGACGAATAACTTCGTCGAGAGCGGATTCTGGAACTTTGATACGCTGATTCAGCCGCAGCAGCACCCGGCGAGAGACGCTCACGACACGTTCTTCATGAAGACGCCGGCGAAGATGAACTTTGCGCCAGAGGACTATGTCGATCGCGTGCGAACGATGCACGAGATCGGCGGGGGCGGTTCCATCGGTCATCAGTACGCGTGGAAGCGCGCGGAGGCAGATAAGAACATCCTGCGCACGCACACCACCGCCGTGAGCGCGCGGATGTTGTACGATATCGCGCAGACGGGATTTAAGCCTGCGCGCTTGTTCTCCATTGATCGCGTGTTCCGCAACGAGGCTGTCGATCGTACGCATTTAGCCGAGTTCCACCAGGTCGAAGGCGTCATTTGCGACAAGAATCTCACCCTTGGAGACCTCATCGGTGTTTTGTACCAATTCTTCGAACGTCTCGGGATGACGCAGCTCCGATTCAAGCCGGCGTTCAACCCGTATACGGAACCGTCGATGGAAATTTTCGCCTTCCACCCGATGTTGGACAAGTGGGTCGAGGTCGGTAACTCCGGGATGTTCCGCCCGGAGATGCTTGAGCCGATGGGTCTGCCCGAGGACGTCAACGTCATTGCGTGGGGTCTCTCGCTCGAGCGACCGACAATGATCATGTACGGAATCGACAACATCCGAGATCTGTTTGGGTCGAAGATGATGATTTCGAGCGTGAAGAACAATCCAATCTGCACCATCTAATGCGATCGTTGTCGATAATCTATCATAGTTCAATCTAATTTGTCAGTGTCCATTGCAACATTGAGAAAGCAAAAGCTCTCACGTGTTCGTTCCCGTCTCTCTGAGCTCTATCCACTTTGAAAAGTACATCGTGCTTCGCTCGGTGTGATGCCACAACGATTGACCCACGTAGTCATCATCTCGGACGGTGTCGATGTTCGTCACGACGTGCTCGATCGCGTCGAGAACGTCCGAAACATTCTTCTCTCGTGAGAAGAGTCGATTGACGATTTCCGCTCCGTTGAGGCGCGCACGTGACCACGTCTCTCGGTCTTCGTGCAATCGCACCGCTGCGTCCGCGATCTCACTCGCGGTGACAACGTCGCCGAATCCTCCCCAGCCATGATCGGGATCGATCGGTTCACTCGTAGACGCGTGCCAAAACTCCTCCTCGGGCGTCGTGCCCTCGCTCCCGATCGGTGTCGTCACCACGGCGGTGCCGCATTTCCACGCGTCCAAAACCTTTCCTTTGATCCCAGCGCCGAAACGAAGCGGCGCGAGGAGCACACGCGCGTTCGACATCGCGTCGTTTAAATCTTCCGCGAATCCCACGAGCTCGAATCCATTTCGTGGATCGTGAAATCTTGCGCGATGCGCCTCGGTCATGTACGATCCGTACACGCGCATCGTGGCGTCCGGCAACCGCTCGCGCACGAGCGGCCACACCTCCGAGCGCAACCACGCGACGGAGTCAACGTTAGGTTTATGCATGAACGTCCCTATGGTGACGAACCCGCGTCTCGCGTCAAAATCTTCGTCGCTGAGCTTTGAGATGTCCACCGCGTCTTCAAAAAATGACGCCGTCTTTAGCCAGAGAGCCCTGAAGACTCTCGTCCCCGCCCTCAAACATGGGTGCCCAGAGCGGCTCGTGTGGGCTCACCAGCGCGGCCAAGATCAGTCTCACCACGGTCGCGTGCAGCGCCGAACTCCAAGAATACTTGAAAAACATGCGTACGAGCGACACGAGGACGAACTGACCGTCGTTCGGCAGCTTGAGCTTTG